GTATTATACATGGAGATCATATCCCCCCTTATGTATTATACATGGAGATCATATCCCCCCTTATGTATTCTACATGGAGATCATATCCCCCCCTTATGTATTATACATGGAGATCATATCCCCCTTATGTATTATACATGGAGATCATATCCCCCCTTATGTATTATACATGGAGATCATATCCCCCTTATGTATTATACATGGAGATCATATCCCCCCTTATGTATTATACATGGAGATCATATCCCCCTTATGTATTATACATGGAGATCATATCCCCCCTTATGTATTATACATGGAGATCATATCCCCCTTATGTATTATACATGGAGATCATATCCCCCCTTATGTATTATACATGGAGATCATATCCCCCCTTATGTATTATACATGGAGATCATATCTCCCCTTATGTATTATACATGGAGATCATATCCCCCTTATGTATTATACATGGAGATCATATTCCCCCTTATGTATTATATACATGGAGATCATATCCCCCCTTATGTATTATACATGGAGATCATATCCCCCCTTACGTATTATACATGGAGATCATATCCCCCCCTTATGTATTATACATGGTGATCATATCCCCCTTATGTATTATACATGGAGATCATATCCCCCTTATGTATTATACATGGAGATCATATCCCCCCTTATGTATTATACATGGTGATCATATCCCCCTTATGTATTATACATGGTGATCATATCCCCCTTATGTATTATACATGGAGATCATATCTCCCTTATGTATTTTACATGGAGATCATATCCCCCCTTATGTATTATACATGGAGATCATATCTCCCTTATGTATTATACATGGAGATCATATCCCCCCTTATGTATTATACATGGAGATCATATCCCCCCTTATGTATTCTACATGGAGATCATATCCCCCCCTTATGTATTATACATGGAGATCATATCTCCCCTTTATGTATTATACATGGAGATCATATCCCCCCTTATGTATTATACATGGAGATCATATCCCCCCTTATGTATTATACATGGAGATCATATCCCCCTTATGTATTATACATGGAGATCATATCCCCCCTTATGTATTATACATGGAGATCATATCCCCCCTTATGTATTATACATGGTGATCATATCCCCCCTTATGTATTATACATGGAGATCATATCCCCCCTTATGTATTATACATGGAGATCATATCCCCCTTATGTATTATACATGGTGATCATATCCCCCTTATGTATTATACATGGTGATCATATCCCCCCTTATGTATTATACATGGTGATCATATCCCCCCTTATGTATTATGAATGTGACAAGCATTGCCCACCCTTGACTAACTCTGGATGTAGACTTCTTATCCACTTGCGGGTGACTAATGTACATATATGTCGGGGTTCACAAGCTTACACAGGACTGATGTCTGCAGGCATCACCACCCCGGCATCTTTTCCTCAGTGGGTGATGCAGTTTTTGTGTAAAGCAATCCTGATGGCTAATTAGCAGCTGCATTGCTTTTACTGGCTGTAGAAGGGGGAACCCCCCCCCCCCCCCCCACCGCCCACTGGTGCCTCTCTGGGCTCTCCAGGGGGAACCTGTCACTATTGTTTGGGGACCAGATCACCCCCCCAATCATCTCCATGGTCTAGGAGACCAGAAGCGATGAGTATTTTGTCACTTCCAATTTGGGCAAATGTAAACACAGTCAGTTTTTTATGGAAAGCATGAGATGAATGTGTTTTTGTTTTTTTTAATCTCATGTTTTTCTGTGTTAAAGGAGAGATCCATAAAGAGGACCTGTCATGCTTTATTGCTATCACAAGGATTATTTACAGGCTGATCTCGCACCCCTTCAACCTCTGCAGCAATGCTGGCAGCACTCATACGTCTATTTCCCAAAGACAACCTCTGGATAGGACGCTGAGCACGTGCACTCAATTTCTTTGGTGGGCCATGGCGAGGCCTGTTCTGAATGTAACCTGTCCTGTTAAACAGCTGTATGGTCTTGGCCACCGTGCTGCAGCTCAGTTTCAGGGTCTTGGCAATCTTCCTATAGCCTTGGCCATCTTCATGTACAGCAACAATTCTTTTTTTCATATACTCAGAATCTTTGCCATGAGGTGCCATGTTGAACTTCCAGTGACCAGTATGAGAGAGTGAGAGCGATAACACCAAATTTAACACCCCTGCTCCCCATTCACTTCTGAGACTTTGAAACACTAACAAGTCACATAACACCGGGGAGGGAAAATGGCTAATTGGACCCATTTTGGACATTGTCACTTAGGGGTGTACTCACTTTTGTTGCCAGTGGTTTAGACATTAATGGCTGTGTGTTGAGTTATGTGGAGGTAACAGCAAATTTACATGTTATACAAGCTGTACACTGACTACCTCACATTGTAGCAAAGTGTCATTTCTTCAGTGTTGTCACATGAAAAGATAGAATAAAATATTTACAAAAATGTGAGGGGTGTACTCACTTCTGGGAGATACTGTTGGTCACGCATACAAAATAAATGGTGTTCACACTGCACATGTGAGGTATTGCCGCAAACATAGTGAGAGCAATAATTGTAGCTCTAGATATCCTTTGTCACTCTAAACTGGTAACCTGTAAAAATGTAAAGCATCACCTATGGAGATTTTAACTATCATAATTCGTCACCATTCCACGAGCGTGCACAATTTTAAATCATGACATGTTTGGTATCTATACTCGGCATAACATCATCTTTTATATTTTACCAAAACTGTGGGTTATACAGTATATTGTATTTTTTTTTTCATTAAAATTCATTAAAGTGTAATTTAAAAAAAAAAGCATTTGAAAAAATACTGGGCAAATATTGTTTAACATAAAAAAAGGAACAACCACAGTTTTATTCTCTAGACCCGTTTCAAAAAATGTTTGGGGGTTCTAAGTAATTTTCTAGCAAATAAATACTAATTTTACATGTAAACAAAGTTTGTGTCAGAAAAAGGCCTGATGGTGCAGTAATTTGCTCCACATTATGGCCACTAGAGGGAGCTGAGGATCATAGGAAATCACCCTGTTTGATAAAGTACATCCAGAATTCATCAAGGATGGGCAAATGCCAGTCACATTCATCCAATAAATGCTTTATATCTAGACCCAAAAGTGCCATGGGAGAGGTTACATCCCAGCAACTGTGTATACAAATTATAGGGAAAAGGAAGCATGTAAATCCTGTTGGCGTCTATATATGAGCACCTGAAAATGTATTTTAATGACCTGTCAGTGATGTCACATCCCATTATTACATTTATTATCATCATTCCATACACAGTCTCCAGGAGTACACTATAGATTATATGTCAATAACAGAGGAATAATCAATCAGGACAAGCGGATGATCTAGCTTCTCACCTCAGAAATACACTAAAACCTTCATATTGGAAGAAACAATCATCCCCTCCCCCTCCTTAGCAGTATTCTGTCTGGTAGAAACTGACCGCTGAGTGGAAATGACCAGGGGGCAAAAATCCAAGAAAAGTCCCATATTGTAACAGAGGAAACAGATCTGTATGGAGAAGTCAGAGCTCTCCATGTCCATGGAAGGGACTGATAGGTCATTCAATAATTGCTATACAATCTCATATTCTGCGATGGAAATGTGTGTCGGGTCGTTTTGGTAAATGTTGTCACCATATAGAGGAACACCTGATAGGATGACATCATAATCAGAGTGTTGTCCTAGTGGTGTATCCCGAGGTGATACATGTCTGCTTTAGTCTGAATAATATTCTGTATATGACCACATTTTTCTGTTCCTGTATTCATTTCTCTGTCTGGTCACAGCCCCGCCCCCTGCGCAGGTCCAGCTTTCTATACTCCTAAGTCATTATTATTGCCCCCCCCCCCCCATGATCACAGATCTTGGCAGCCATTCACTCCTCAGTATAAATAAGTGAAAGTTTCATCTGAAATATTGTTATCTCCCTATATTTTGTTCCTGAATAGAAAATAATGAAACAAGAGATATTTCCTCAAGAAATGTTTGTCTTCCTAATTATTGGTCTTTTATGATCTTCACAAACACAAAAATCAGCCTTGTTTAGGACGTTTTCACAGGGCAGGGAGAAACTACCACCCTCTGAAAATCGGTCCACATTGAATTGCCTTTTAGAGGGGAATATAGCAGCAGCTCCCGGACATTCAGGAGGCGATCCTGCCACCTCCTTTTATCTCCATCCTCAGTACCTGAATCATGTTACTGTCAGAGCTTTTTTTTGAGGTTTTATGAACCCCAGGAAATGTGTGGTGAATGAAGGATTTACTTCTGTTTTTACATTTTAACTTCATTTCTGGAGTCCGGGGAAAAACTCCCTCTGTGAGTCTGATGTGCATTAAAGCTCCTTTCACACCAATGCATTTTTTAGAGTTTTTTTTAAAGACCACCAGTAGATGGCAGTATCAGTCCATTATTTTATGTCCTATAGGGATAAGGTAGGGAATATCAGTGAGTAGAGACATGTACACACAGGGATGGGTTTGGCAGGTATATGCTCCAGGGTAGGGATATGTTCAGGTTCAGGTGGAATTTGAGTTGGACCAGAACATAGTCTGTCCAGGGTCTGGGGGATGGAGGATCTTATTGTCCAGATTTGGGCAGATCACTCGCTCGAACCCCAACAATCCCTGGCCGCTTTGTTCACTAACAGAAGCCGAATTCTCTGCACATTTCCAGTAAATAAAATTGCCAACATGATTAATAATAATCTTTCTGAAATTCATAATGAACATAGACGTTTATTACATGTGTGTTACTGAATGTTCCCGGAGTGACATCTGTGATTGTGTTTCTTCATAAAAGAGGAAGGAGGTTTTTGTACGGCTCTGTATCACTGTGTGAGAGGGTACTCCCAACCCTGCTGACAGAGATATCTTCCTTCATCATCTTCAGTTGCTCCATTAATAGTTAATTTGTATTCAGTTCCAGATCCGGAACCACTGAACCTGTCCGGGATCCCAGATTGCCGAGTGCTGGCATCATAGATAAGAAGCTTTGGAGGTTGTTGGGGCTTCTGTTGGTACCAGGCTAGGTAGCTGTAGCTGCTATCAGTTAGGCTTGTACTGGATGTACATGTGATGGTGATTGTCTGTCCCGGGGACACAGAGATAGAATCCGGAGTCTGAGTCATCACAATCTCTCCACAGGATCCTGAGGATGGGAAGAGACATATTGATTATTGATCAATGTCTGGATATCTTCCTATCAATCCTGATGTGTGTATTTATTGTACAATGTATAGATGTATGTGCAGAGGAGGATGGAAGGAGCCTCATCTCTCACCCTGAATAGAAATGAAGATGACAGCCAGCAGATAACTGGGAGAAAGCATCTTGATGTTTCTGGAGGGTCAGATCCAAACTAGAAGACGTCTCCTGTACAATGAGATATATAGAGAGAGTGACAGGGGAGGTGTTCCCCCCACACACTGTGTATGCAAATACCGGGGAGATGGAAATGAGAATTCTCAGATCAGTGATCTGTGCTAGAAACACTCAAACTGAACGTTATCTGAGAAGGCTAAAACATTGAACTCCATTTTCACATTAGTCCACATTTATTTTCCCACTCTCATGGTTAAATAGATAATTATTAGGGTTATATAAATCAGATTAACATCAGTACATCATTTTGCAGTTTCAGACTTCCAAAGGGCAGCTAATAAAGCCGCACTCCAGTCATAAATGTTGTAATACAATACAATACAATGGCCCCAAAGGACATACATCTACTTTGTATGCATGAAATGAAATGCCTTTGCAAACCAAATGTTTTAACTTATAAATGTAGTGAACAGGAGCAGACTGACCATTTGGAAACTCGGGTACTGCCCAAGGGCCTGGGATCAGTAGGGGGTCCCATGAGATGCCCCTGGTACCTTTTTCATAGGCTTTTTTGAGTTTGGGCAAGAACACAGGGGCCCCATGATCCCCTGGGTTCAGTAGGAGGCCCCATGAGATGCCCTGGTACCTTTTTCATAGGCTTTTTTGAGTTTGGGCAAGGACACAGGGGCCCCATGATCCCCTATTGCCCGGGGTCCCCATGAGTTGTCAGTTCTCCCCTGGTAGAGAAACAATCACCATTACACTGTATACAAGCTGAAGAGACAGTAGAGCTGTGGGAGGGACCCATTAGGCTCCACCCAGTACAGGCTGTCTGCAAAAACTACAGGAGGGGGTGGAGACAAGACCAGTCACCCTGCACAAGGAGAGAAAGCAGCAGCGACAGTCTTTGTTACAAGAAGCTCCTGCACAGAGGTAAAGTTTCATGTTGAATTACTGCACAGATCTGGAAGAATTACAGAATGCACATCACGATTCAGAATACACAAGCCTCTTGTATATTCTCAGATTTTTGTTTATCCCAGGGTTCACTTTTAAATAATACCATTGTGGCAGTGCAAGGCCATGCCGTTGTGTGATTAGGCAGTTTAGAGCAGATTTTGGCTGCGTGGGGAGATACACCCTGAATCCCTACTGAAGCTGCCATTATCATGTCTTATGAATTATACAATACTGGATATACTCTATGTATATAGGTGATCTGTGATCTGTTTCCTCTATTCAAAGTACAAAATTACTCTGAACCCCTACTACCAATTTCTTTCATATCATAAAGATTTCCCCCACAAGTCACAACCAGGGCCGGTGCTTCCACTAGCAAAACTAGGCCACCTAGGGGCACCTGGGTGCAGCACACTCTCTCTGTGTGGGGGACTCTGCCATGTCATGAATGATCCTTCAGCTGAGGGGAGGGGCAGCAGAGGGGAGGAAGAAAGGACAGAGGAAGATACAGGGTGTCTGGGGCCAGTGTAGCAGCTGATTTGCTGCTCCTTCCAATGTTCCTCTCAGACTCAGTCCCTTACTGCAAGCCAGATGGCAGCTGCTGATAACAGTGGAGTTCCAGCTCTTCTCTTCCCATTCTTTAGTGGATGCGGAGCTGCACCTGCAGAAGAAGGTAATGTCTGACTCTGATGTCTCATGTCTGTGTGAGGGCAACCTGGCCAGCCATCCCTCACATGTGTAATGTGTCACTGAGTGATGACAACATCACGATCCCACTGCCTGCTCTTCTAGTGCCTGCTGATATGTGTCAGTGTTGGTGGTGGTGTGTTGTGTCAGATCTGTCACTGTGTGGGATCGCTCAGTTCAGGTGTTCTCTGTGTGCGGGGGGCTGGGCTGCCTGCTGTCACAGCATTTTACCCCCCCCCCCCCCCCATAGCCTGTGGAATTCCAGCCTGGGATCTGTCAGTGTGTGGATCCATCATCCTCCACTCACTGCAATTGTCACCCTGCCACTGCCAGCCACAGATGCAATCCGTCTGTGACACTGATTATGTCTTTAATATTGGTGCTGGTGGAATCTTATGGCACTTATTTTTGATTAAAGAAATTTAGCAGTTTCATGTTTTGTTGATTTCATATTTTATACTGTTTTTAAAATTATTTATTTATTTGTTTATTTATTTATTTATTTGGGGGGGGTTGCGGGGGAGGAAGGTGCAAGTAGCTGGCCTTGCCTAGGGTTTAAAATAGCCTAGTACCGGCCCTGGTCACAACCCACTGTGGTCAAGCCCCTCCATATCAGAATTTCTGTCTTTCCCAGGTGCACAATATTGGTCTTTCTATGGTATAAGATTTGTACACCAACTGTACTCCTTGGGTGACATTAACCCATTTACACTGAGTATCCTAGTTGGCCTACAGATCTAATAACAAAATACCTTTGCAAACCTTCAATTTTTATATTTTAAAAAGGTTTTCCTGTTAACATGGAAGAGACCATCCTCCCCCTCTTTCAATTAATGGAAAAATCTAACTTCAGATAGAAGCTATAAATATTCAATGATATGGGGCTCTTGTGTTATATCAACCCATACACTTCCCCTGGATCCAGGTATTTATTAGTCAGGTTTTCAAAATATATTAATAAATGCAGCACTCTCCCCAAAATGTAATGCACTCGTGGGTATATCAGATAGCTGTCTCTGAGGAAGTCCAATAGGGACACAACGTGTCAGCTGGGAGTGCCAATGACATCCCGCTTGGCTGGGCTCTACGACAAACACAGCAGATACTGTCTTTGCGGGATGGTATCTATCAGCCTCCAGATTGGGGTGCATGATTTACCCAACAGCGCATTATCTACTGAATAAATGTGAGTGGTTTAACATGATTTTTCATGGGGCAATAAATGTTTAAATTGAGAGCACTATGGTCTACCTATTTCTGTTCCTACGAGGGGAGGATTCAGGTCAGGTTGAAAACTGGTGCAAGCAGCAGAGGTGTGAAATAGCCAGGGGGGGACTGACCATTTGAAAACTTGGGCACTGCCCAAGGGCCCGGGGTCAGTAGGGGGCCCCATGAGATCCCTGATACCTTTTTCATAGGCTTTTTTGAGTTTGGGCAAGAACAGAGGGGCCCCATGATCTCCTATTGCCCGGGGGCCCTATGAGTCGTCAGTCCACCCCTGGTACCGGCCCTGGTCACAACCCACTGAGGTCAAGCCCCTCCATATCAGAATTTCTGTCTTTCCCAGGTGCACAATATTGGTCTTTCTATGGTATAAGATTTGTACACCAACTGTACTCCTTGGGTGAAATTAACCCATTTACACTGAGTATCCTAGTTGACCTACAGATCTAATAACAAAATACCTTTGCAAACCTTAACATGGAAGAGACCATCCTCCTCCTCTTTCAATTAATGGAAAAACCTAACTTCAGATAGAAGCTATAAATATTCAATGATATGGGGTTCTTGGGTTATATCAACACATACACTTCCCTTGGATCCAGTTATTTATTAGTCAGGTTTTCAAAATATATTAATAAATGCAGCACTCTCCCCAAAAATGTAATGCACTCTTGGGTATATCAGATAGCTGTCTCTGAGGAAGTCCAATAGGGACGCAACGTGTCAGCTGGGAGTGCCAATGACATCCTGCTAGGCTGGGCTCTACGACAAACACAGCAGATACTGTCTTTGCAGGATGATATCTATCAGCTTCCAGATTGGGATGCATGATTTATCCAACAGCGCATTATCTACTGAATAAATGTGAGTGTTTTAACATGATTTTTCATGGGGCAATAAATGCTTAAATTGAGAGCACTATGGTCTACCTATTTCTGTTCCTACGAGGGGAGGATTCAGGTCAGGTTGAAAATCGGTGCAAGCAGCAGAGGTGTGAAATAGCTGCTAAGAGGTGACACATGATGTATGGACCTCCTATAATGTAAGAGGTCCAGTATATTAGGTGAGATCCATACCATGAGCACATGGTGAAGCTGGAGAAGAGCTCGGTGAGGTGTGGAGTGCGTGTACATGGGTGTACATGGGAAGAATGCTTTGTGTGCATCATAAAGAGAATCTAATTTTGGGACTTTATTTAAAATAATTGTTTGTGTATTGGGAAGAGTACTGGACATTTATTAGAATCAGAAAAGGTATTGTCTTCTATTTGGGACTGTTTTAGTTCACTTTGGGACTTTTTTCACTTATTTATATAGTTTTGCAACTTTTTCCATTTTTTGATTGCATGATATTTATACACTTCACATGCAAGTGGGGACTTTTAATTTTACAGGTATAAAAAGAGATGCTAGTGTGCCGGTACTACATGTAGTAGTGACAAGTGTGACCTATTACAGATAGGGGGCGCACATGTCATGGGCCACTCCAGAGACCGGTATTCAAGATGGCAGACAACAGTGTTAGTGAGTGCATGGAACAACGTGTGGGGATGAGTTTCCTTGTGAACAAAGGTGTAAAATCCAAGGATATCTACAGAAGACTTCCAGCACAGTCCGGTGATGAGACGCTCAGCTGCAGTAAGACATTTTAATGGTGTAAAAGTTCCATAGATGACCGTACGTGGGTCAGTGATGATCCCGGCCGTGGTGATTTCCAGCCCACAGAAGTCATTCTTGTGAACATTCAGTGCCTGGAACGCAGGATCCTGGATAATCAACGCATAACCTGCCTTGAAATCAGACTAATCAGCATTTCAGCACTGATGTTGAAGTGAAGTAGTCTATCCTAGGATGGTTCAGGCGTACTGACAAATCTTTTTATGCCAATGCTTTCCAGGCATAAGGTAAACGCTAGGATAAGTGTATACATGTAGCAGGGGAGTATGTCAAATAATAAATGCAGTTTCCACTCCTTGTTCTTTTATTATATAAACTCAAAATTCCCGGTTTGACTTATTTATAAAAAAATATTTTACTAATTTTTCACAATTTTTTCACACATATCTTTTTGGAGAATTGATTGTGCACGTGTTGTTTTAGATTATGAGATCTTGTGATTGATTAGCACCTAGGATTCTTGTTGGGGTAGTAATATTAAGGTGCAAACAGGGCTTTTGGGGTAAAGAGAGAGCGCTGCACTTCATTTATTTTGATTGATTGTGTGAAACACATTGTGGTATTAGCTGCTCTCAGCGTGTTATCTTGGATTAAGGTAAGCAGGGTGGGAGTTCTGAATGGTCATAGTTAAAGAGGAACTTCACTCTCTCAATCAACATGGACTATTTCTGATCCTTATGCTGTTAGCATTAGTAAACAGGGAATCATATTTACTTGTTTTAACCATTTTTTTTGCATTCCTTCATTTACTTCCTGGTTTTGATGCCTAGGCAAATGATGTCATACATCCCAGGAGTCTTCAGGAGCGAAGGGATGGTTCTCAGCCGATGCCTGAGCTAAGGATAGATGGATTCCCAGAAGTAACTGCTTTATGAATCATCTGCACTTACTCAAGGTGGCCACTGTCAGAAATGTCAGGAGGTGTTTTTCAAAATGATTTCTCAGCAAAATAAAGCATGGAGACATGGATGGATGGAGGAGTTTGTTTTGAATATTGATAAGGAATGATATAGCATTTTTGGTTTGTGGTGCTCAAATGCAATGCAGTCCCACTTTAAGTTTTGTATGTTGGAATGCAAACTCTACTACACTACATTATCTGCCAGGGCCGTATCATGTGTTTACTGACTTGTACCATTGAGTACCAAGACAAGAGAGTTGTAATGTTTTATTGTAATGTGTATGTAAATCAAAAACAATAAAAACATCTTTAAAAAAAAGGAGAAAATAATAAATAGTGGCTGATTATTGGCTTCCACTAACCCAACGTATACATTTCAAAAAACTCACCACAACATATAAAGCCATCCATAACTCTGCTCCTAGCTACATCACTAATCGCATCCGCAGATATTGTCCAAACCGTCCTCTCCGCTCCTCCCAAGACATCTTGCTCTCTAGCCCCCTTGTCACCTCCTCCCAGGCTTGTTTCCAAGACTTCTCCAGAGCCTCTCCCATCCTCTGGAACTCCTTACCCCAGTATGACTGGTCAGCCCCCACCCTGTCTGCCTTTAGGCGATCTTTGAAAACTTACTAATTCAAGGAAACCTACCCCACCTCTGCTGAAGAACTGTACTTGAGTCACTTCCACCAGATTATCCCCTGCAAACTATCACCTTTTGTACCACCTCCCCTTCCTTTATAATGTAAGCTCCACGAGCCGGGCTCTCCTATTCCTTCTGTACTGAAATGTATTGTAATTGTTCTGTCTCCCTTATATTGTAAAGCGCTGTGTTTCCCCTCCACTTTCCCCTCCATCCTAGATTGTAAGCTCCAAGGAGCAGGGCCCTCAAACCCCTCGTGTATTGCATTGTATTGGTATTGTTCTGTCGCATGTACTGTCCCTCATTGTAATGTACAGCGCTGAGCGAACTGTTGGCGCTATATAAATCCTGTATAATAATAATAAATTATTATTAACTGCTTGCCGACTAGCCACAGTAGATATACTGCGGCAGGGTGGCAGCGCTGCGCTAAATCACATAAATATACATGACTTTGCATTTCGGGTAGGGGGCGTGCGCGAGGTGCACTGCCGATCATGGCCACAGGTGTCAATCACCAGGTCCCAGCCGGTGATTACCCGCCGGAGCCCGCGATTACCGGCAAACACTGAGAAGGAGCACGGCTGCATTGTTTTCAATGCAGCTCTTCTCCGTCAGTTTGAGCACACTGGTCCAGATAGATGAGCTCAACCTTCCAGATCAGTGTGTTTACAGTGAGGCACACCCCCCCCCCCCCTAGTGAAACACTCCCATCACACAGTTAACCTTTTGATTGCCTCCAAATGTTAACCCATTCCTCCCCAGTGCCATTAGTACAGTTTCAGTGGGGTGTTTTTGCACTGATCACTGTATTGATGTCACTGGGAATGTCAGTGACCCCAAGTCAGTTCCCCCCAAAAAATTCCAGTATCTGTACCACCATTTGTAGACGCTATAACTTTCATGTAAACCAAATAATTTACACGTATTGGGATTTTTTAGCAAACATATGTCGCAA